CTCTCTCTCTCTCTCTCTCTCTCTCTCTCTCTCTCTCTCTCTCTCTCTTCTGCTCATAGCCTCCATTTGTTCCTAAAATTCATTCTTTGGTTTTAGAGAACACAAACTCATGTAGGTCAAGTCAAGAGATCATTTTTCCCTATGTCATGTGGAGGTTCCCTGTATCATTTGAAGGTTACCCACCAAGATAGTTTTTCTCCCTGTATCACAATGATGCCACAGGGATGTGATCTGCAAAGTGCACAGCACAGGACACCTGAAGGGCAGCTACCAAGCTTAATAATTAAATTGCAAAGAGAGGGGCCGGGGAGATAGCTCAGTAGAATGCGCAGGGTCCTGAATTCAATCCCCATTACTGCTAAATAAATAAATAAATAAAAACAGCCAGGGAACCTGTACTTTTAAAAAGTCCTTAAAAAATACAAATAAAAATAAATAATTTTTTTTCTTTAATTTTAATTTTAATTTTTTGTGGTACTGGCAATTGAACTTGGGACCTTAATGCTTTCCAGGCAGGTACTTAGGCCACTGAGCTGTCTCTCCAGACCTAGGTAGTGTATTTTTGTTTGTTTGTTTGTTTATTTATTGGCTGGCTCAGGCTGCCTTAAGGGCGGGTGTGGTATGGCATGTGGAGCTGGGGATCTAACCAAGGTCCCTGCGTCTGACTTCCTTTGCCCAAGCAGGCACTTAAACAACTGAGTTAACCAGCAAGCCCCTAGGTAGTGTATTTTAACAGCTGCTGGAAAGTTGGCTTTTTTATACATTGCAAAGTAAATAAATAAGTAACGAGTTGAGACTCAAACCCAGTTACATCTGGTTCTTTCACCATTATGCTAAATATAAAATACTTCCTGAAGTGATGTAGCAGTGCAGTGCAGGCCCAAGCGTTTGACTGTTTTGTAGTGTCTATTGAAATTTGCTCCCATGTTGTGGGCACACTTGTGTCCACCCGTGGATGTATATGGGTGTCTTTGTGAGACTTGATATTATTAACAGTGCTGACATATTTTCTTATTTTCCTAGCTCATGCTTGATACATGGAATGAATCAATTTTTTCAAATATTAAAAACAGATTGCAAGATAGTGCAATGAAGCTGGTACATGCTGAAAGATTAGGAGAAGCTTTTGATTCTCAGCTGGTCATTGGAGTAAGAGAGTCCTATGGTATGTTCTGCACTCTTATAATCATAGCCACCTTTTCATGGGAAACTTTAGGACAGTTATTCTATCAGTTATATGTATTAGCATATGAAGTCACATCTACTTTTTGGCACCAGATCCTTTTCTTTTTAAAGAGTACAAATGGTATTCTGCTTCAAAGAAACCTAGAAACATTTCTATCCATGTGGTCAGATTGCCTGCATAATGGTAATATTTTGGTTGATAAATCTTTTTAGTGACCTGAGTTAAAGAAATACAGATTTGAATCTATCACTGATTAAAGGTGCCTGTTTTGTGTGCTTTTTTCCAGAAAGTTGCTTCCCTGTGTACAATCTTTTTCCTGCTGTCTCAGCTCTGACTATGCTGTTCTGCTTTGTACTTTCACATACCTTGGTTCTCTTCCTCCTCTTATCTTTTATTTCCTCATGGAAGCTTTTCTGGGTTTTTCTTTTCTTTTTTAGTGGGGGGTATTGCAATGCAAGGTATCTCACTTTGTAGTGTATGCTGGTGTTTAGTTTTGACCTTGCACTTGTGATTCTTCTGTCTCAGCCTCCAAGTGCTGGCATTACAGGGATGCTCCACCATTCCTGGCTCATGGAGACCTTTTTTAGCTCCAGACTAGATCAAGTCCTCTCAGTAATTCCTAGTGCCTGTGCCTCTTTGTGTAGGCTTTTAAGTAACTCATTAGTACTATATCCTTACTAAACTTCAAGTGCCCGGCACAACATCATTTTCAGTAAGCATTCATTGGGTTAATGAACTTTAGAATATTTTTGAATATGTTTTCTCCATTGCCAAAAGTTTTTTATCAAGTCATTGCATTTACATTAATATTACTATTCCTGAATTGTATCCTTTTACTGCATTTATTTTTTAATTAATTTTATTGAGAAATAGGAATGAAACAGTTTCAAAACAGGTTAGTAGGACAGTTACAATAATTAATACATTGTATATTATTGTCTTCATAGAGTTATTCATAGTACAAGATGCAAACATGATATCTTGTCCAAACACTATTAGTGAAAGGCAAAGGATTTATACAATCTGAAGAGAAACCAAAGTATCCAAACACTGTTAGTACAAATCTTTCTTCTCATTAAATTAAGAGAAGGCAGCTGTGTATCTGTCCTATTTCACTATAAAATGGTCCTTCATTTATATTCCCCTTTTTTGTTTAGTTTTGTCCGAGATGGGAATTCCCTTGCCATTTAGATATTGTAAATGCATGTATTCAACAAAATAATCCAATATAGTCCATAATAGTAGTGGGTTATCTGTAGGACTGGCAATGTCAGAAGTTGTTGACTTGAGCCTTTTAAGCTCAGTATATTAATATGGCTTTACTTTTTATACCTCGTTTTTATACTTTTCTTCTGGATGGTTAAGACCAAGATAAAGCAAGACCTATATAACAAGAAATGTAACTTTTGTTCTTTTGCTTTAGTTGTCACCAGTTTAGACATCTTTAAGTTCTACATGTAGGCTTTTGAAGCACTCATTTTATAGTAATCTGATAGCTGTCTCTTATCTCACATACTATTCACCAGATTAATTTTTAGGTAGAATTTTATTAGGTTCTTTCCCCTGGTTGCACCTTTAATTATATACCTATGCTAAGCTCAGGATACTTGGATATTTGAAGCTCTCCACAACATTCTTTATTTACTAATCTACCTTATTTTCTGTCAACTGTATAATCCACTTAGACAATTCACTGTTTCATTCCTAATATAATATTTATATTATAGCGTATGCTTTCAGAGTATTTACTTACCTTTTTTTTTTTTTTTTTTTCCTGAAACAGGGATTGGACTCAGGCCCTTTCGCTTGCCAGGCAAGCACTTATTTTACTGAGCCTTCTCCCTGGCCCCTACTTATCTTATTGTCTGTGAAAATCCTTGCTTATTCCTTATGATTCAGTTTAAGTCCCATCTGTCTGTGAAAAGAAGGCTTTTTCTTTCTTTTTTTCTTTTTTCCTTTTTTTTTTTTCAACACAGCCTCTTGCTATGCAGTTCTCAACTGCCTTGATTTCATTATGCATCCCAGGCTGACCTTGAATTGACATTCTTTCTACACCCTCAGCCTCCAAAGTGCTGGGATTACCAACGTGCACAACTATGCCCATCCTGTGGTCATCAGTTTCTTGATCATCAGTTTAGAAGTCAGTCTCTTTCCTATTAAAAATAGTTATATTATTATATTTATTTGTTACTTTATTCTTAGTGCTGTTACTTGATGAAGATTTTTGTCTTACAGTGTTATGTGTTCTTGTGACCATATTGTACATAATGATTCCTCAGTATTTGTTATATATTATAGTCAAAAATACTAATTGAGTTCATCAGTAAAGTAAAATTCTATTTTGTTTTTCAGTTAACCTTTGTTCTAATCCAGAAGATAAGCTGCAGATTTATAGGGATAATTTTGAGAAGGCATACTTGGATTCAACAGAAAGATTTTATAGAACACAGGCACCCTCTTATTTACAGCAAAATGGTGTACAGAATTATATGAAATATGTAAGTCAAAACTCAGTTCATTTGGTAATTTGAGCTATCTTCTTGATACTCTTAAAATGATTGCTATTTCATTTCTGGACAGGCAGATGCTAAATTAAAAGAAGAAGAAAAACGAGCGTTACGTTATTTAGAAACGAGGCGAGAATGTAACTCTGTTGAAGCTGTAAGTAATTTTGTAATTGTACATTTTATGGGATTATTTGAAATACAATTATGCAGGGATAGCAAATACTTGACAATAATGACATTATGTATCCTTTCTCCTGTTTCTGACCAACAGTACTAATTGGTTATAATCCTTTTTCCCTGTGAGCAAAAGTAAAGCTCCAAAGGCACCTTATTCAGAGTACTTTGTCCTTTAGAATTGGTATGTGGCATGAGATATATTTGCCATCCCTGCTTTAGGTTTTACTGTTTTCACTGCTCAGAAGTCTTCAGTCCCTTTTCTTTCATACCTATCAAAAGTTAACCATTTAGTGAGTTGCATGTACCATAGGGTCCTTGGCACAAAGGTGATCTTATTATTTTGAAGTTATGTATTGGTTTGTTTGTTTGTTTGTTTGTTTGTTTGTGGTACCAGGGATTACAACCTCAGGACCTTGCACATGTCAGTCAGGCACTTATGCTGCTGAGCTATCTCCCCAGTAATCTCGTTACTTTGAGACGCTGCACTCTGTAAAGTGGCTGCAGTCACTGAATTAATCACTATCAATTCATTATTCCTAGTAATAATTCTTGTTGTCAGAAAATGTTTCAAAGTTCATCATGTCATTAGAAAAATACTAATTATTATTTGATAGAGGACATCAGCCTTTTATATTGTGTAAGGTTCTCAGAAATAGCTGGTTAGATAATAGCTATACCATGTGTTTTCTTTTACATGAAGAATGTATCTTCATGTGCTTTAGTAAGAAAAGTAAGAATCAGCATGGGCAGAGGCTTAGCTTTGGTGCAGATAGAGCAACAGCATTTCTGCCAGTTCCTTTTAGTCTTTGGGATTTAAGAACTTGATTTACATTTACATTCAAAGGTATAACATTCTTTATGTTAGGCCTATTACTCACTATTTTTCAACTGTCAATGGCATTTAGAACTTTAATATTGTCTCCAATGACAATCATATTTGTCTTATTCTTTGTTGATAAATTATGCTGAGTTGAATCTTTTTTTGTGTGTGTTGGGGGGTGTTGCTTGTTCAGGATGTGTAACAACCTTTAGTGGTTAAGATAATTTTGGTGTTTGCAAAGGTAAGAGGGTAGGAGTTCATATAGTGGTTATTTATAGAATTCTCTATAGAAATTTAAAGCCAGGCTTGGGATCCATTCAGAAGACAAGTTCTTCAAATATTTTCTGAGTAGTTGTGCCATGATCTTATGTCCTTCAGGAAAATTAATATGATCACAGTAGAGATTAAAAAAAAAAAAGATTTTTGCAGTGATTCAGAGAAACTATTTTGATTATGTGGAGGGTTATAGCAGTGGGAATGGAAAGCATAAGGGAGGGACATTATATCACTTGTACAGGGCTGCATCCTGCAGAGAATCAAGCCCGTAGTGTTTTTGAGGTGTCCACTTTGCACAGTTTTGCTGCCTTAGAGAGATTAGGTGTGAAAGTAAGTCTTATGGGAAAAGATGAGTTCAATTTGGGAGTCTGAGTTCTTTTTAGTGGGTTGACATTCTTTTACCCCTTGGCTAGA